CACTCAAGCTGCTGATATTTACAGTTTTGGGATTATTATGATAGAAATATCAACTGGTCAAAGGCCTTTCGACGGTTACAATTTTGATAAGGAATTGGTGTTAGGAATTTTACATGGATTGCAACCCAAATTTAATGTAGATGCCCCAAAATGTTATGCTGAATTAGCCAAACAATGCGTTGATTCTGATATGAATAAAAGACCCACAGCTGTTGAGGTTCTTAATAAACTTAAAAAATGGAATAAATCTCTCAGTAATGATGATTATAATGATTACAATAGTGATTACGATAATGATCTCGATAGTGATTATGATAATGGCTATTATAGTGATTACGATAATTATTATGAAGATAATGATTTTGATGAGAAGGATAATTTTGACAAAGAGGATAACGAGAATACTTTTGGAAAAGGGAATACTTTGGGAAAAGGGAATACTTTTGGAAAAGTGAATACTTTTGGAAAAGGGAATAATTTTGATGAAGAGGAAGAAGAGATCAAACAGCAATTTTTAGAAGCTGATAAATTAATTAAAGAATTACCAATTAACATGCAAAAACATGAAAATATCGTATACACTTCTAAACTTATCGATACGAGAGAAATTGTTTCAGAGTTTGAAAATTTTAAGAGTAATCAAAACCTTAAACCAAGTAAAGAGATCCGTATCAATAATATTAATAGCAATTTGTCTTTTCAAGATTTTTATTGAATAACAAAGTCGTAGTAAATATTGTATTTCGAGAGTATTAATTTATTTTTAAAAAAAGTTTTTAAATTAGCTGATAGTTATTAGGCCACGCAAAGTTAATTTGTCGTTTTGAATTACATAGAATCAGAAATTTGGGTCGGTCCGATTTTTTTTATCCCCTACCGGATAATCCCGGTGAAAAGATGACGGAGAAAAACAAAAGACAAATATAGAACAATTGAAACAATTGAATTTAAAAAAGAAATTTGAAAATTTGAATAAATGGGTCGTTCTGGTTAATGATGCCTGACGAAAGACGAAATAGTCTCGTCTAGACGAATGACGAAACCGTTTCGTCTGGCAGCTTCAATTAGACGAATGACGAATGACGAAACCCGTGACGA